TTTTTATGGGGTTTCACCTTCAGTCATTTGTCCTAAATATTTTTATTTAATATGTTTATCATTTACCCAAGATTATTAGGAAGCAAAGAACCTAACAAGAATCAATTAAGGAAAGCATTATTGTATTGTTTTTTCCAATTCCTGGATCACAATTTTATCATCAGAGATTACATGAATTAAGTTGAGATGTGTAGCCATTTAATTCAACAATTTACGTATGATGCTGAATATTGTTACATGTCTTGTTGTGATAAGCTTTGGCCTTGTCTTTTTGATTAAGCAATAAGAGAACTTTATTATCAAAATATGCTTATCAAGTCAAGAGTACATTCCACACTAATTAAAGCATGTTTTGTCAAAAAATAATATAAATGATTTCCGAGGACTAATTATCTGTTTGGATATTTAAAGAAGATTTTTCTTAGCGCCTCACAAATTTAATTTATTTCAGCTAAAGCTCCATCCAAAATCTTTATTTATTTTAGCCTAGCCATTATTTTAAATTTTAGGTCTGAGTCTGTCCTGTCCCAAATTAAAGCATATTATCAACTAACATAAAAAATTAATTCCTTTACCCTAATACTAAAGAAATCTATTTTATTGTTTAGAATTTTTACACATTTTGAATCTAAAAAATCAAAAGCCTTAGCCCTGTTTTAAAAAAAAGTTTTTTAGACCCAAGCCCGACTTTAACTTAATTTCCAGGTTCAATTAAGTCTGTCTAAAGTAATTTTCATCAAACTCCATTCCCGATATTGCAACTGATGTAATTCATTTAAGATAATGCATTCGCGATTATGCATTCCCGATAATACATTCGCGCTTATACTTTTGTGATAATGCATTCGCGATCATAGATTTGCGCTAATGCATTCACTATAATAAATTCATTTTAATATTATCGCAATAATTTATTTGCTATATAGCATTCGCGGTAAAGCTTTTGTTGCAATGCATTCGCGATAATGCTTTTGCGGTAATACATTCGCGATAACACTTTCGCGTTATTATATTTGCTATATTGCTGATTATATACGCTATAATATTGTTTCGCGGTAATGCATTCACAATAATAAATTGCGCAGTATTGATATGTAGCCAATGATTGCATGTAACCGTATATTAAAGTCGAATTATTTTTTAAACTTTATTCTGTTATAAAAATAGAATTCAACTATTAAATAGAGGTGGGCTCGGGCCGTGAAATTAGGCGTGACCCACCGTATAAATTTTGAATTCCAAGGCGTGACGGGCCTTCCCAAAATTTTCCCCGGGCGTGAACATAAATTTCCCGTGAATCACGGAAATTTTAATTTTTTAAATTGTTTTTTTATAAATATAAATTTGCAATTTTATAATATTAAATTTGTAATTTTTTAATTATAAATTTTTTATAATTATAAATTTGCAATTTTATAATTATATTATATATTTTCTTATTTAATTTAGTTCTTTTTAAAAAAGAATAATTTATGAAAACTAAAAATTTTCCGCATTTTATAAACAACATCCGGTATCATTTAGTTAGTTCTATTTTCTTTTTATGTTTAGGTGTTTTTTGTCGCGAGACTTTATGCTAAATTTTGCTTAAACTTTTTACAGAAAAGTCAGTTATATTTTATTTATAAAGATCTTCAATCTAGAAATGCAACAGAAAGTGAAGGATTTTACAAGCTAGGCCAAGAGATAAATGTTGGTGTTACGTATGGATAACAAAATATAAAAGTTGTGAACCGGAAAACTCTCATGAATACTATAGGTACAAAAATATACCATGAAATAAAATTTAAAATTAAAAGCATGATCAATAATAATTATTTGTCCATAATCACTGATATTTGGACGGATGAGTATAAAAATCTAAGTTTTTTAACCATTATAGGACATATTATCATTATGGATTTTAAATTAAAAACATTTGTTTTGGCCACAAGGGCAATAGATGAAAAAAACGTCAAAATAAAAATGTAATCAATTCAATTTTAGGAGAATATACACAAGTAGAAAATACTTAAATAAATGTGTTGTGAGTGATAACGGAGCAAATCTTATAAGTGCATTCAAAGATCACGAAATGCTTGCATGTATATGCCATATACTAAATAATGTTATATTTTTGACAATTGTTTAACTGAAATAGCCATAAATATAAATTGGTGTAAAAAAAATAGTACAATATTTCAAACAATCTACAGCTAATAGCAAACTAAGCCACACCCTTAAAAAAGATGTAATAGCGAGAATAACTAGATGGAACTCTGTATATCATGATACAGAGTTTCTTAGAATCATATTCTGAAATACAGGTGTACTTGTTTAGCAAGCAAGAATTAAATAGATTAGCCACAATTGATATCAGCATCATATGCGAGTTAGATAACTTTTTATCAATATTTAAAGAATGCTCGGATAATCTGAGAGCATATTCTCGTCCCACAATAAATGAAGTTTGTCTATGGAAACAAAAATTAATAAAATTTTGTTAACCTTCTGAACGTGATACAATAATAATCAAAACCTTAAAATACAGAACAAGATTTCTTTTAAAAGATTATTATGCAGCCACTACATAAGGTAGGCTTAATTCTAAATCCGAATTTCAAAAGACTTAAGTTTTTAATAAAAGAATAAAATGATATATATAAAACAATCTTAAAAATAAATTACATGATATGCACAAGTCAATGCCAACTATCATTTATAACTTTCCTAACTTATCCTAAACTCATAAAAAACCGTATATTCTAAATGGTCAATACCAACTATCACTTTCCTAATTCATCCTACACTCATAAAAGACCGTATATTCTAAATAAAAAATTTAGAGAATTTCTAGATGAATTTGATGAAGCATCAACATCACCGATGAAAGCTGTGAGGATGAACTTAAAAGATTCATATAAGATAAATAACAAGACAATATTTTGAAGTTTTGGAAGCAGGAATATTCATTTCCTTTTTTGAGAAAATTATCGAGTAAAATTTTGTCAGCTGCAAGTTCGGCTTATAGTGAAAGGTCATTTTCTGTAGCCAATCTCTTATTAGAGGAAAGGCGTACACAATTGAAATAAAAAAAGATGGACATTCTTCTTTTTCTAAATAAATTTCGATTTATAAATTGTATTTATTTTTGTTATTAATATGGATTATGAAATTAGAGAAATAATAGAATGAATTCAAAAAAGTGTGAAATTATAGCAATAGTTTTGAAAAATTTAAAAACACCGTGAATTTTCGGGCGTGAATCAAAACATTGCTTGTCGTGAGCGGGCGGGTCGGGGCGAAATTTTTTTTATTGCCACCGTGAGCGGGCGGGCCGTGAATAAAAAATTAGGCCCGCGCCCACCTCTAATTCAAAAAACTTTTTAATCATGCAACAGATAAATTTCAAATATTTTGAAATTTTCTTAACGTTCAGTTTTGTAATATATACTCTAAAATAATTTATAGCTAATTAAGCGAAAACACTGCCTAATTTAAGGTTATTACATTCATGTTTTGCTTAATCTTACCGAAACTAAATACGAGTTAATTAATAAATGCAGCGTTTTATGAAAAGCCTGATCTGCTGTGTTCTAGGGTTATTAATGAGAGAGCTATTTATAAATATAAAAATTAATTCTTTTTATTTACTATAAAATTTATCAAATAGCGGACCAGAATCAAATCCATTTTACTAAACAAATACGAATAAAATTTTGGTTCACCTGATACAAAGGTTGGGATTAAATGTTACAACTAATTTGTAAGAATTCTAAAACAAAAATATCTTATTCTGATTTGAATAATCTTAAATTAAAAAACACCTTGATAAATTGGCACTATATGTGATAGAGGTGCTAATTTAAACTTGTTGTGGTCTTTTAATTTTTTAAAAATAATTCTTAATATTTATTAGCAAATCTGCAGATTATCCATTCTTAGTTGTAGTTTTATTCATATAATACGTAAGGTATATAAAAAATTTAAATGAGTAGGCTAATAAATTAATTTCGATACCAAGACAGTGAGGAGAGAAGATTTTTCTAAAATCCTTGCCTGCAGAGGATTTTAGATTTTAAAAGAAAATAAGGTCTAGTATAATATTAAGGATCAGACCTCTATATTATTTTCAATGTTTTAATTTTTGGGGATTTTATTTAGTTAAGTTGATATATACAATGATTATTTTAATGAGGAATATATAGTATATAATATCGAAAGAAGGAAAAAACAAGGAACATGTAATATAATAAATCGGAATAAGTTGAAATCAGAGCAGAAAAATGATTAATAAGATTAGGTCAACTAATATTCTAATTAGGTTATATATATTCATTACAATGATGTGAAAACAGCTAGTATGAATGGAAAATAGGCAACAAATAGTATATTATGCAATTAAAACTTATATGCTTATAATACGAAAATAAAGTTGGACTATTTTATTTTTCTCAATAAAAGGGATATTAACAATGGTTGGAATTAGAAATATATTCTTAGCAATGAAAGCGAACCATAAAAACAAAGCGTTCCAAAATATAGTTCCATATATATGGCTCATCAAACTTTGATACGCCAAAGCTTTGTTTTTTTTTAAAAACCTAAAATTTAGTTGGCGGGAAAATTTTTAAAAAATTATATCACATGTTTGAAAAATAAAATGATGGATAGTTAGTTATATTAGCATGGTAAACAAGGTCATAAACATTTAACATTTTAATAATTACTATAATATATAAAATAAGTCCACATAATAAGGTTACAATGAGAAAAACAATTCAACGTGTAATAAAAAAAATAGACTTTAATTATACAAGGGGAGGGGGAAGAAAAAATAATTTTAAACATAAAAAGCTTATATCATCTATCTTATACGTCCAAAAAATTTTAGCTTTAAAAAGATGTATATTATTTATATTATATGTTTTTAATTTTAAATCATCGTCAAAAACTTGTTCAAAAGATTAAAGAAATGAATTAACTATCACAATGATGGCTTTTAATATAGATGTATAATTATGCGCTAAAATCAGGTAATAAATTTATTTATAATATATGTAAGTAAAATTGGTAACAAATATATTTCACAAATTTTTTTTAAAAAAAGGTAAAACAAATTTAAAGACAAATTTATATATATTTGAGTAATATTATAAAGACTTTCAAAATTTTCGTTTCAAGACGCTTTCTGGAAAACAATAAATTGAGCTGGTAATAAATGAATGAATAACAAAATAATGGGAAAAAAACAAATAAAAAATATATTGGGTAGCTTCTTTTTCCCTCGAAAAATTTAGCTTTGTTTAATTTTTTAGCAAATTTTACGTTTCCAAAAATCCTGTAATCTCATCACTCTCTTCTACTCGAGTTATTTCTTTGTCTTGCACTGCTTCCCTTCCTTCCTTCTCTGTCTCATCATCGTCGTCGTCCCCTTCTAAGGGAGGGAAGATAAAAGTGGGTGCGGTCTGAGTTGAGGAGTCAGCCTCACCCGATTCGGGCGTCACTCCGGGACTCAGGGGTGATCCGAGGGTGTGGGAGGCAGAGGACAAAGAGAAAAGATTCTCGCCCTCGAGGTGCTTTATAGCTTCTACTATTGTCTGCAGGTTGCGACGGCCTTCATCCATGGAACCTAATCAAATTAAATATATAAAATTTTCATTTAAAATGTCAAAAAAAATCTTTAACTCAAAATCATATAATTAAATCAAATAATAAATTGGCATAAATTATAATCTAATTAACCATTTGAAGTGCAATAAGATTCATTTTAAACATTTTCGGTAATTCAACTAGTTTTTAATTTATTTGATCCAAATTATTAGCCTACGTTCTAAAACAAGAATAATCTATTTATATTTTGTGAAATATATTATAAACAGCTCTATTTGAATAAATTAAAATAGGTAAAGAAAAAACATTACATGAGGGACGAGTGGATGACCCACTGAGTGGCGTAGAAGATAGACATATAATTTTGGCCTCGGTGGGACTCTTGCCATTGCCAGCATGGTTCACGACAATCTTGCCTTCACTTATAAGCGAGCTGTGTCCATGGTTAATTACAATCTTGTTTTCGTTGTTTATCACGATCTTTTTGGCGTTGGTGCTATTGAGTATAAGAGTGGGAGGCAACTCCAAGCCTGAACCACTGGTCAAGGAGTTATTGAGAATTTGGATGAAGGGCGATGAACCGGTGGTTCTAATAAGGCTGGGTGTTATTAACGAGGAAAAATAAATAAATAATCAGATTGTTATAAAAAGTCACAAATAAGATATAAATTGAAAAAATGCAACAAATGAGAAAAAAAAGATAACAACATCGTAAATAAATTTCTAAATCGAAACCAACCATAAAACTATTTCACACAGTATCTTTTCTACAACCATAATTCAGCGGGATTTTAATGCTTATACTCACTTAAATTTCAGGTCCTTATTATCAGCTGCGCCGAATTCCTTAACGGCACCTTCCGTCAATTTCGTCTCAATTTTAATGAGGTCCTTTTTATGGTCGAGGGTGTTGGAATATTTGAGACCACTGTTTATCAAGTCGACAACCTCCGAAACCCGCAAGATGGCGCTAATGTTACTTTTAATTTCGCTTGAATCGTTTGAAAAGGTTTTGTAAATTGTGCTGTCCAACTTGATTGTTTCGACTCCTAATTTATATATGGCGCTATTTCCAGGAATGGATGTATTTTGAGAAAAAGCTGTGAATGTTTTAAGATCTGTGCCAGTCGGGGCGGAAGAACAGGTGGAGGATACTATGAAGGAGTGTGTACGAGGCAAAACTAAGAGAGGCGTAGAGGCAGAAGATGGGGATGAGGCAGAAAGAGGGGCCTGAGGCGCAAAATTTTTAAAAACTGGGCCAAGCATTTTGAACTTTTTTCTGAATAATGCAGCATCTGGACTTTTAGCACCGGACAACTGACGTGTAGGCTCTGGGAGAGCGGAGGGCGAGATGACAGGTGGGGAGGTGGAGCTTTCATCTATGGGTTCAAAATTTAAGTTGGAAAGAATATAAAACGTAAAAATTTAACTTAAATGATAATTATATAAAATCTGAACTTCAAATATTCTGGCAGTTTTTTTTAATATAAATTTTTTTGGGCACTATTATAAATGGGCAGCATAAAAATCATTTAGTAGGCATTCTATAAATATTTGGACCTCTATTTGCCAAATCTCGAGGCCTACATATTATTTTGCTCGAAACAATATTTGGCAGGTTATTAATTAATTTTCAGATTTTTAATGACGTTATAGTTTTATTAAGTTGTAATTGTTTTTATTCTACAATAAACAAGTCATTTAATTAAATTTATGGATATATTTAATAATATGGTAATATAAATTAAATATGCATAAAGATTGGTCTACATTCTGATTATTTAGGATATAATTTTTACAGTAAAAGATTAGAAATATCTATTATTAGATTAAAAGAAACATAATCATTCATTTAAAGAAAAGAAATCTGGATTCAATTATTAGCGTATAAAATAAGTTATACCTGAAACATATGCATTAGTGATCTGCATTGGGCCTAATTTTAAAAAAATTTGCCCCGTCCAGCTCGATCCCAAACGAATTTTTTTTATTTGCCTCAAAAAGCTAGACCAAAAATAAAAATTATTTGTCCGCTCGGCTCGAATTTATTTATATTTAATTTATTTTATTGTAAAAAAAATATTCTACAAATAAAAAATAGTAAAGCTTTGTTTTTGCAAAAATTTAAAAATATAGCGATTTATTTGACAAAATGTAATGATATCATATTTAAACATTTAAGCTCAACCCGGCCCGAAATATTTTAAGAAATATTAGGCTCGACCCAGCCCGAATCGAAATTATTTTTAAAAAATAGACCCACTCGATCTCTAATTTGCATTTTACCTAGGCATTTGCAGTTTCATCAAAAAATTAAATATTTATATTGAAAAAAATTAAAAATGAGGAACTCATATAGTATATAATATGATAACTTTAAAAAAGAAATATTTCTCATTTTTATTACCATAATATTTTATAAATACTGCCCTAAACATTTAAATTTTGATAATAAATATCCTATCCCCAAAAAATCATTTGAAAAATACCATCAGTTTTGCCCGTCTGTTTGATTGAGATATTGGACCTAGTTTTTATGCTTACAAAGTTTTTATCCAACGATATGGTGTCCAATGTTGAGAGATTTGCAGGTGAAACAACAACTTCTAAATATACATACATTTGCTTATAAGCATTTTATGAATGAAAGAGTATCAGTTTTCCCCCAGTTTTATTTATCTAACCCTTACCATTTTATTTTAGTTTCTCCCAACCTTCCTCCCCTTTTTTTAAGACATTCACTATCGAGCATCAAATATTTATAGTTAATCTTTTTCAATAAAATATTGTATTTTAAAAATTAACGTAAGGGGTGTTTCGATATCGCTTTTTAAGAAGAATACGATTTTTCCGATATCAGTCGATCATCAATAACCATCAATTCGATATCACAAATAAATTTATTTTAACAATCTTATTTTTACCTATCTATTTTATAGTTAAGTTATTTAAAAAATATTTTGTGTGCTGATTATATTAATTATAGGATATCTAAAATATTATACCAGAATCAATTTAAATATGTATATTAACAAATAATATGCATTTCAAATTGAGATAAATAATCATACTTAAGATATCTAAAATTAATTCCTTTTAAGAAATACATGTGTCCAATTAATATTGCAAGATATCAATTTGCAGAAAAACTAAATACTATTAAGTTTTTCTTTACAAGTGATTTTATGTTATGAATAATTGTGGATTATATACTGTACAATAAAAAATTAAAAAGATAATAAATATGCAAAACAAACAGAATCAGATGTGATATAGGGTTGGTAATCAGCTGAAATCAATTTAACATCGGCAATATCGGGGATCGGTCTGTAAAAGTGGTATTTGTATAGGCTTATTTAACATTTATATTAAAAAAATTTATTAAAATTTTTGCAAAAATAAATAAAAATCCAAAATTTGAAAATATTAATGACTCTAGATTACATCAATTTAGATTCAGATTACAAGCATTATATGTTAACAATAAAATATAGGCTCATTTTTTTATTAATAAACCGAATATGTGGCATTTAAACGAAAAGATAGAGTTCCCTCTTATATCGAATTCTTAACAACAAAATATTTTTTAAAGATTAATCTAACGCGCCTGATAGATATGGGGTAGGGTTAGTTCACTTTTTAAATGGAGTTAAAAACTAATTAATAATATGACTTATCAAATGCGCATGCAAAATATAAAAATTATATAATTTTGATAAAAGAAAAACTAATACAGTACAAAGAAAATGGGAGAATTTATTAAACGCAATTTATAGTCAAATAAAAACTCAGTTTTGCTAACCCACATGGATAGGGTTGGCAATATATGATCATTTCCTCATTTTAAACAAAAGAAAATTGAAACAATTGAAAATATTTTTTAAAAGAGTAAACAACTATAATTCCATTAGATATATTATTCATTTAAATTGTAGAGAAAATATATATATGATTCGGACTTAAGATCCCATTATGGACCGAGCACTTTAACAGAATGTGCCGGACATGAATCGGAAGTGAGACCAGGGCGGTAACCAAAAATTTCTTGCTGGTGGGGGGGGGGGGGGGGGTGGCGCTTACTTAGGGGGCCAATATTTTTTGAACCTAAACAAATAGTTAGGCAGGCACTCAGTTTTTTTCTATTTTTATTATTTTTAAACGTAAATATGAATACCAAATAATACTCGATGATTTTTATTTTAAAATTTTAACATAAATGAATGAAATGCTAAATTCTTAGTTAACGGTTAATTTGCTGGCTTACCAGAATTGTTGTTATCTCAGTATCGTTATTTATATTAAGATTTTTATCATGCCATATTGTTATTAAATTTAAATGAGCTTTTAAGCTTTCATTTTATAGCAGTCCCTTCTATGAAGTTAACGCATTTTCCAATAGATGAATCCCTTTTGTCCATATTCATCAATTAAGCGACTAATGAGTGAATGAATATTTTATAACTAATATTATTATAGGTATTCTTGTTTATTAATTTGTATAAATTAAATAATATTTGTCTAAAAATTATGCTGTATTTCTATTTAGATTTAATTGTTAATTAAAATTTAATAACTAATAATTTTTTTAAATTTGGTAGTGGGAGGGAGGCGTAAAAGGTGGCCATGTTTAGGAGACAGATTTGGGAGCTGGAGCTTTAAGGGGGGCGTGCCCCCGGGTCTAGGCCCTGTATGTGACCCTGGTCAAGATTCAATATCCAGTTCATAATTTATTACTTTCCCCTCTTACTCTAACCATTAAATAAATAAAGAAAATGTTTAATATGTTATTTAATAGCTCTCCGCTAATATATTAATGGAGCTTAAACAAACCAAAACCTTTATCGTCAGAGAGTGATCCAAACTTTCTTTTTTTGATCCCGAGTTGTTCACTTTTATCTATGTTAGCAATACACACGTTATTATTACCATTATTGATGTTCCCTATGAGCAATTTTGCGCTCTCGGATAGGTTGTTAGCGTTTAGGACGAGTTTAGGGATGCCGCTATTTTTAATGGCAGGGGCATTATTTAATACTTTGAGGGTTGGCGGCGGGGTCAAAGAATTGTTTAAAGAAGTGTTGCTCAGGGATGTATTTAGAGAAGAATGTGGGGAAGTAAGGTTTCCCGAGGCTGGGAGAGAAATTCGGAGTGGTGTAGCAGGCATAACGTTCGGTATGAGGGTGGTTCTTGGTATGAATATATGAGATATAGGGAACAAATTACTACAAAAAGAATCGTAGATATGGTACATATGCAATGTGATTAATTTTGTAGGAATATAGAACAAACGAGTAAAACTTTCGTGAAGTGATCACTCGATGTGGCGGTTCAGTTATAGCAAAAATATATTTAAATTCTTTCTAAATAGTTTGGGGGTCTAGAAAAACAATTAATCTATCAATATGGGAAGAAGCTATTTTATCAATAATTTGGCGCAAAATATCATAGGTCTCATTGCAAAACCTCGTATCAAAACTAAAATTTTGCAAGTAGACAAAAAATGTGTTAATCAGGGTTGGCAAGTGCTCAATTGACCGGTCAAATTCAGTCAATTGACCAATTTGACCTTGTCAAATTCTCTATGAAGAAAAAATTAAAAATATGTTTGAAATAAAGATAAAAAATGCATGTGATCACAATGCTGCTTATTTATTGGGTCCCTAATATCAGAAGGAACATCTCACTATAAGTGAATTTAATGAAATGTGATATAGAAGTAGGCATTTTACAAGGTAGTGATGATCAAAATATTTCAAGTTGATATCATAAATTTCATAAGTAAAAGCAGCATATTTAATAGCAAATTATGTGAAAAGCGTAACTTCCATACGAAGCAATCAGATTCCGGCCTCAAGTTAGTGGAATGAGCCTTGCTTACCATGTCCATTAAGAGATATAGAATTTTACTAACACAATTTTTAGTTCTACTTCTTCTACGGAAAGAAATTAGTCAATTTGGGTTAATATTCTTAATGAAACTGAAATCGATTGAATTGATTAAAAAATATTAAAGAAAATGATGAATATGAATCAGAACAAGGCTCTGCCAAGGAGAGCTTAACATTGAGTGACAATGATTTTAAAAAATATTATAAAATTAATATTATAGATTCATATACAAAATAAGGTTAATATTGACTTGCAAATTATATTTTTGAATTTGACAGGTCAAATATTGGTCAATTGACCAAAACTATTTGGCCAGTCAAATATACAACTCTGGTTTTAATGATAAATTAAAGGATATTGTGAGTTGTTTTTGTAAAATGGATAATTATAATATAATAATATTGCGAAATAAAGCATTTTTGATACTTTAATTTTTTTTAAATTAGTTATTGAGGTCTTGCAATGAGACCATAATCATATGTAGAAGGAGAATAACAGATGAACCAAATTACCTAACAGCCTGAGATAAAAGAAGGCTGCTGCTAACGTTATTAGTTGAAGTATTGATGTTTGTGTTCGTGGAATTATTGTTCATTTTGATGTAAGCCTCGAGCTGGTTGTTTCTTTTGATCAAAATATTTTTCTCTTCCTCAAGGAATCTTATGTAATCGGCCGTTTGTTGCAAAATGGATGCCTGTATATTAGGGAAATCACAACAAATTAAGTAAATTTATTAACAATGAACAAATATTATGTTCTGTATAGATTTACAGTGGGGTCTTTCCATGTCAAGTCAAACACCTTTCAGCTGATCACTTTCAATTTTGATAAAAATTTGCATGCACGTTATCTATGTTCTAATAATATCTGAAACAAAATTTTAGCTCATTATTAATTATGTTGCCTTAGATAATGGGAATTAAAGGTATAAAAATCGGATTTTTTAATCTTTTACTGATGTTAAATAAAATTAGTTTTAAATTAACAACTAAATTAGTTCGAATATTGAATTTAATATTAATAACTAAGTCAATAATTGATAATTACAGCTTGGTCATTTTTTGAAAAAAATGAATTTTTAAAATTGGGATATCTTTTATACTAGATGTACTATGTATATCTATTATGGCTCATTTTATAGCCCTAAGTAAACTCTTGAACGTATGTTAAATAAAATTAATTTTTAGTTTATATATTTGCGGTTAAAAATTTGTGATTAATTTTTTAAAATGTTAGACTAAAATTTTTTTTCCAAATTTCAGATATTTTGTAAAGATTACCAAGAACTGTTCATATAAAAAATTTCAGAGTGGGCCCAAAAATATTAATTAGAAAAAATCTCATTTTTGAAAAATCCGCTAGATGGCGTAAGTAATTTAAAATATCAATTTTAACAATATAAGTCAAATTTTTTTTTTATTCCATAATAAAATATATATCGAATAATTAATAATAGTAAGCTTAAAATAATTTTAATTAAATGATCGATTTTTCGAAAAAATATTTCCAATAATTTATCGTCTGTTATTTTTCCTAAAATTATAATTTTTAAAATTAATATTTTATTAAAATGTTTTGTACAAATCCATTAAATCTGCTAAATCATTATTCCAAAAAAGGACTTCGTAAATTTGGATGACAATGTATTATAAAATTAACAAAGGAGATTATATTTGTCCTAAATGTCGCAAATCTTTATATAAAAAGAAGAAAGATGTTTCAATTTTAGAGGATAGTAACATAGCTACAACCTCAAATAATTTCCTAAACTCCACCCATATAGAAAATAATTATCCAAATAATAACGATAATGCGCAAATCCCTACAATTTTTTTAGAATCTTTAAATTCTACTTTAGATCAAATGGGGCATTCACCAATAAAAAAAAGAGACTAAGAGAGAAAGGATATCCCAAGAAAAAACTTGGCAGAATTTCAACCGCGATTGCCAAAATTCTTCAACCCAAAACGAATACAAATGGTAGCGAAGATTTAATAACTCATATGAAAAATAATTATCCATTATTGTCGAAAACACAAAAATATCTTTTATTAACGACATTACCTCCAAATTGGAGCATTCAAAAAATTAAAAAACAATTTAACGCTTCGTTTTATATGATCCGTAATTCAAAATTTATTCTTGGTCAAAAGGGGATTCTTTCAACCCCCAATCCGAGAGCAGGTAAAACCATAAATCAAGGCACAGTTGACACTGTAAAAAGTTTCCATTTAAATGACGAATATAGTAGATTATTGCCCGGAAAAAAAGATTGCGTTTCTATAATTACGTTCAAAAAAGGTTAATTCTTAATAATTTAAAAGAAATATATATAAATTTCAAAACTATCTACCCTTCTCTTAAAATGGATTTTCAAAATTCGCCTCATTGCGCCCTAAAAATTACATAATGCCAGGTTCAAGTGGCACTCACTCGGTTTGTGTCTGCCTAATCCATCAGAATGTTAAGTTGCTAATAATAGGTAGCAATTTAGCAACTTTAACAAAAAATAGGGATTTTGAGATAAAGACTTACAAAGACATAATTCCAAAAATGATTTGTAATCCTCCCCTATTAGCCTGTTATTTTGGCGAATGTCATGAATGTCCGGGGGACCAAAAATTAAGGGCTAAATTAGAAAATTTATTAATTGCACATGATATATACAGGATAACGTTCAAGCAATGGATATCTGTAGATAGAACCAGTCTAGAAACCCTAACGCAAACAGCTGACGAATTTCTTAATTACTTATTTGAAAAAATATTTATTTTGATTCGCCATGCTTTTATTACTGAACAACAAAACAGATTCCATCAGAATCTTAAAAATAATTTAGAGCATAATCATTATTTGATTATCTGTGATTTTTCTGAAAATTACTCATTTATACTTCAAGATGAAGTCCAAAGTTATCACTGGGCCACTTCCCAAGTTACTCTACATCCATTTGGTATATATTATAAAGTAAATAATGTATTAAATCATATAAGTTATGTGGCCATATCTGAATCGCTGAAACATAACACTTGTTTATTTCATTTATTCCAAAAAAAATTGATAAATTTTCTAAAAAATTACTTTTTATCCGATCCAAAATACATTTTTTATTATTCCGATGGGTCCGCGGCTCAATATAAAAATAGGAAAAATTTTATAAATTTGTGTTATCATCAAGTAGACTTCGCCATCCCAGCAGAATGGCATTTTTTTTCTACTGCAAATGGGAAAAATGTTTGCGATGGAATAGGGGGAACCGTTAAACGCTTGGCTGCGCGGGCCAGTTTACAACGTCTTTATGATAATCAAATAAAATCTCCCTATGAATTCTTTAAATTTGCTGAGGAAAATATAAAAAATATTTATTTTTCCTATACAACCCATAAAGAATACCAAGATGAGCAAGAATTTTTAGCGGAACGATTTGCAAGAGCTCTTTCAATTCCTGGTACTCAAAAAATTCATGCAGTCTATCCTGTTAATTTATCACAAATAAATACAAAAAAATATTCCAGTGCTATTGAAGCCAAATTAGAAAAAATCCAAAATATAATAAGCGAAATATCAACTAAAGATATTAAAGGGTATGTTACATGTTTATATGATAATGAATGGTGGGTAGCATACATTCAAGATATTATTAGCGATGCTGAAATAAAGGTAATTTTTTTACATCCAAAAGGACCTTCTCAATCCTTTTATTATCCATCAATACCAGATATTCTAATTATTCCGATAAATGATATTCTCACAATTGTCAACCTCTTGAGAGCCACCGGAAGAACAGACACTTTAACTAATGATTAATCTAACTTGGCAATATATAAATTAAATTTGAAGAAATTTAATTAAAATTATTTGAAGCTTACTATTATTAATTATTCGATATATATTTTATTATGGAATAAAAAAAATTTGATTTATATTGTTAAAATTGATATTTTAAATTACTTACGCCATCTAGTGGATTTTTCAAAAATGAGATTTTTTCTAAGTAATATTTTTGGGCCCACTCTGAAATTTTATGAACAGCTCTTGGTAATCTTTACAAAATATCTGAAATTTGGAAAAAAAAATTTAGCCTAACATTTTAAAAAATTAATCACAAATTTTTAACCGCAATTTAAAAAAAATATATAAACTAAAAATTAATTTTATTTAACATACGTTCAAGAGTTTACTTAGGGCTATAAAATGAGCCATAATAGATATACATAGTGCATCTAGTATAAAAGTTATCCCAATTTTAAAAATTCATTTTTTTCAAAAAATGACCAAGCTGAGCCACTTTGAAGCCCTATATCTCCGGTTCTAATAGAGTTAAGAGTCTAATATTGGATTCGTCACTTACAATACTTTACTAACTTAAATACCAAATTTTAACAAAATCTGAGATTGTCGGGTTGTAAAGTGATTGATTTGACATGGAATGACCCTACAGCAGGCTACATCATTAACATGTGAACGGATCTTTTCTAGAGTTAGTGGTAGGGAAATAGAATGAATCCAAAGATAGTTCAATCTTTAATAACATTTGAATCATGGAAATAATTTATGATTTTTTAGAAGATAATTAGAATATTTATATATAAATCTGTATTATTTTATAACCAAATATCTATCACATTATATATATCAAAAACAAAAACTAATTAAATATGTAAATCAAATTGATTTAAATTATATTCAATAAATTTGTATTGGTTTAATATTCTTTTGAAATAATAGGCATTTGTATTGTATAATATAATAAAAATGATTTGATGATATAATTAGAATATTGGTAATTTAACACTTTTAATTTATAATAAATTTAATGCAGAATAAAACTTTTATAGCTTATCTAAATAAAATATTTTTTAGACAGAACCAGACGATCTCATTTTAGAAAAAAAGATCGGACCGGACAGGATTATTGCAATCACTACTTCTTTGTCACTGTTTCTTTTTGATTAAACATGAAGGTTAAAAAACAAGTTTAATCTAGCATATTTTTCATTTCATATGTATTTTCTTTTGATAAGGAAAAATTAAATAGTTAAGTTTTAGGATAAAAAATCATATGCTTTACAGATAGAATAAATGAAATACATGTCTAAATTTATTTGACAATGGGCCATTTCCATGTCTAATGAAGAAAGAAAATCGAGATTTACCCTTTCAGTTTGGGTAAAAATTTGTAGGCGGGTTATGTGAAAGGGGGGATATTTTTTACCAGATATTGAAACAAATAAAATGATTTTATTATATTTTTCTTATTTTCATACTTAAACATTAAATTATGTTATACGTATTCTAAACTAGTGTTTGCAACGGTCTGGTCCCAACTTAGCCTTTTCAATGGTTAAGGATATCACTTTTGTTTAATAGCATATTATAACCCTTCCTTTTTAAAGACATAAATTATTTTCCCTTATATTAAATTTATATCAATCTTTTGCACTGTATTTTATATAGATAAATAGTTATATTATATTTTAGTGCACTCATTTTGCTTTATTTTTTGTGCTATTGCGAAATAAAAATTTTCAAAATAAATACGTTTATTATTTGATTGGTTTGTTGATATAAAAAATTTTGACATCACTTAATAAATTCCTAGTTTAAAACAAGAATCTGGATTCAGTAAAATTTTGAGAGTTGGTTCTGCTTCATGATTATTTAAAACTACAAATTATAGGTTTTTAAAATTAC